AAAGGATGTCCTTTGGGAAGAAGGAATAAGATCCGAGATACAAAAAGAAACGGTGAACAAAGAAAGTAGAAAGCACACTTAGAGGACTGTATAAAATTATGAAAGCCTAACTTGTATAATGGAACCCCAAATAATTACAAATAAACTGCAATAATCAAAGGGAGCTGGTTTAGTTAAAGGTTGTTTGGGAAAACATTAGTAAAGATTCCAAATTACTTTGTAGTTTAGGTTGAATATGTATGTTAAAATATCTAGGCCAACCAATAAAAGCACAGAAAGAGAATACATAATCTCCAACCTTTCATATAGGTGAAAAACGGAATGAGAAAAGTAAAAACAAAAACTTCAAAACTGAAGAAGGCAAGAAACAAAAAGTGTCAGAGCAAGAGGTAAGGGAACACAGAGAAAGTGAGACAAAGAGAATACAAGATGAGATGGTATACATGAGCCCAAACTCTCCAGGGGAAAGGAAAAGACCATCAGACTGGATGAAAAAGAAATCTAGCCACATGCCATTTTTGAGGGACCCATTCAAATATGATGACAAAGAAACAGGTAGAATAAAAGTTTGGGAAAGATTTGCCAGGCAAACACTAGCCCAAAGAGCTGGTATAGATCAGGCAAAACAGACTTCAAGGCATAAAACATAACTGCAGAAAGAAGTTCACTACACATGGATGAAAACTCAAAACACACTGAAGATATTACAATTCTAAAATTTATTTATTTATTTATTTATTAAAAGCTTTCTTTTTTTTAATATAACTTTTTTAAGTAATCTCTACACCCAACGTGGGGCTCAAACTTATGCCCCCAAGATCAAGAGTCACATGCTCTACCTGAGCCAGCTAGGCAGCCCTAAAATTTATTTATTTATTTATTTATTTATTTTTAAGATTTTATTTATTTATTTGACAGACAGAGACACAGCAAGAGAGGGAACACAAGCAGGGGGAGTGGCAGGCAGAGGGAGAAGCAGGCTTCCCGCTGAGCAGGGAGCCTGATGCGGGGCTAGATCCCAGGATCCTGGGATCATGACCTGAGCCAAAGGCAGATGCTTAACAACTGAGCCACCCAGGCCCCCCTAAAATTTATTTTTTAATAAAATAACTTTACAATAGAAGAAAAAAACTGAGAGAAATGACAAATCTTCCACCGTCATCATCATGATAGTTAACTGAGGGATCACTGGCCACTGAAGTAAATGGCTTTGAGCTCCTTACACATATTAACCCCGTTAATACTCCCATCAATCCTGTTCTTCTGTGTTCCCTTTTTACAAACAGGAAAAGTAAAGCACAAAGAAGTAACATATCTCTCTCAAAAAATGATACAACAAGTGGCAAAAAAAAATCTTCATGATGGGAAGATTTGCATAACATCATCAGCAAGCTGGATCTAATGAAAATACATACAGACGGATAATACACATTCTTTTCAATTACTTACAGAATGCCAATAAAAGCTGACCATGTACTGGGCCATAAAACAAGTCTCAACAAATACCCAAGACTCAAACTCAGACTTCCTAGAATGATGATGCAATTAAATTATAGAAATCAATAAAGAAAAAATAAGTTTAAATGTCATACAATTGGAAATTTTTATTTATTTTAAAGATCTTATTTATTTATTTGAGAGACAGAGTGAGAGAGAGAGAGAGAGAGAGAGCATGAGCAGGGGGAGGGGCAGAGGGAGAAGGAGAAGCTCCTGAGCAGGGAGGCCCACACAGGGCTCTATCCCAGGACCCTAGGATGACCTGAGCCCAAGGCAGACGCTTAACCGACTGAGCTACCCAGGCACCCACAATTGGAGATTTTTAAAGAGGCTTCCAAATAAGTCACAGGAGACATTCAATAGTAAAGGAAATGAGAAGTATCTCAAAATAAACAATAGGAGTATTCCATACCAAAATTCGTGGGTTGCAGATAAAATTGTACATAAGTGGGAAATGTGTTACTTTTTTTTTTTTAAGTAGGCTCCCAGTGTGGGGCTTGAACTCACAACCCTGAGATCAAGACCTGAGCTCGAGATTAAGAGTCGGATGTTTAACCGACAGAGCCACCCAGGCGCCCTAAGAAATGTGTTACTTAAATGCTCACATTAGGAAAGATGAAAAACTGAAAGGAGGTAGGCAAGAAGAAAGAAATCTCTGAAAAGGCAAGAGAATACATCCAAAGAAGAGGAAGGCAAAGAAGAAAAAGAAACTAAATGAAATAGAAAATAAAAATAGACAAGGGAAGCTCCATGATAAATTTGGGGTTCTCAGAAAATATGAATAAAAATGATTTCAGAAACCTGACCCTGGTATAAATAAGCAATATTGGGAATCGATAAAGGCGGGAGCACAACAACACAGGCAGCAAACACTAAGGTGAGAGAATATTATGGGCAACTTTAAGGCAATAAATTTGAAAGCTTAGGATTAAGTGGATCTATGTTTAGAAAAATACAACCTGCTGGCATTGACCAAAGAGGAAGCAGACGATGATGACAACGATGAAGGAATTGACTCAGTAGTTACAGACTTTCCCACAGTGAAGTATTAAGAAACATTCAAGAAACAATTCATTAAAATTTACATGTATTATTTCAGAGAATAGAAAAAAAAGCAACATTTTGAAACTAATAAGTAAAGCAAACTAGGATGGATAAGAAAGAAACATTATAGATCAATTTCAACGGGCATAGATTCACCCCCAAAATTCTTCAGTAAAATATTAACAAAACAGAATCAGAGTATGTATTTTAAAAAAACCCATCACCACCTGGTTGGATTTGTCACAGGAATGCTAATTTGGCTCAATATAAGAAAACTGACTCGTGTAATCCATCACATTCATGGATTAAAGGAAGCAGAAAAAGTATCCGATGGTATTCAACATCAAGTCAAGTTGGAAAAAAACCTCATGACAAAAAAGGAAAAGAAGGGAATCCCTTAGCTGGATAAAGGGTTTATTAAAATCATGCTTCATGGAGAAATGTTTGAAGTACTCTCTACATTACCAAGAATCGGGATAAGAAGGTCCACAACGTGGCTTCTGCCAGCATAATGGCGGCCATGGCCAACAGAGCAAGATAAGAAAAATAAATAAAAGGCATAAGGATTGAAACAGCAGAAATAAAATTTGCTGGTGATAGGACTATCTCTAAAAAAACCCCAAAAAACAAAAACAAAAAACAAAAAACAAAACAAACCCACAAAAAACCCAAGGTGGAAATAAAAACAGAGTTTAGCAAGGCATCTGCCCCTAACCTTAATATATAAAAGTCACGTGTTCTATACTCCATGTGAATTAAGTAAAAAACATAATAGGGAATGAAAAAAAAAATCAAGTCCAAAGAAAATAAATGAAAGTCTGATTTTGGTTATATAATGGTGGAGAAGAGGCAAAATTATAAATATACTCTTTGGAAATACATACACCTGTGGTAAAGCTGGGACACATAGCGAGGAGGCGATTAACACCAAATTAAGGAAAAAATACACCTGTAGAGTGGGGATCAGGAGCAGGAAGTTAGGGACAGACTTCAAAGGCATCAGTAAGATTTTCTTTCTTAAGCTAGCTTGTAGATTAGAAGTATTCTTTTGGTTCTTATTCTTTACACTGTACTTATATAATATACATTATTTCATTTTTAAGAACAGGCTCTGAAAGGTAAAATACCTTTTATTAACAATAGTTGGATGTTTTATTGTTTTTTCCCCCCTTTAGCTGTTGGCAGTTTCAGGTATTTCTGTAATAAGCATGGACAGCTTTTATATTAAGAGAAGGTCATAAAAGCAATTTCTTTTAAAAAAATCTTTAAGTGAATAAAAATCACTCTGATTTTACATTTATGATAATAAAATATTTGATAAAGAATGCATACCTTTGCTAGGTATGCCATGCATATACTGACATACCTCATTTAGCTCCAAATGATTTTTTGATAAACTCTGGATCAATCTATTTTATCTGAGTCACATTTTAAATCCCTTGGGGAGTTGGTTATTTCATAGGAATTTATGACAAATTGATGGTAATTTATGGTAACTTTATCAGCTCATTAATATATCTTTCGGTAAAGTCTCGCCACTCCAGCTCAAATAGAGACACTGAGGATGTGTATTTTAATATATTAGATAATTATCGAGGAAGGCGTGCTAATATATACCTAGGCTTTAAGCAAGGAATTTGGCAGACTTGGACAAGTAACTAAATAACCCACACTATTTTCCAACTAAACCCATCTCCCATGAATCTGGCAAAAGTGAAAGAAATCTATGAAAACGCTGTGTTTCTCCCCACGTAAAGCATGACGCTGCAGATGCCGAAACAGCCCCGGGCAGCCATGGGATGAATACAGTCCTTTAACAGCCTAATGTTGTTTACACTGCCTTGATAACTTTTAGAAAAAGAAAACTCAGCTTCTCGGGAGAAAGATGTGGAACCACAAGAAGGTACAGTTCGAGCTTTATGATATTCCAAACTGCGACACAAGTCCATTTATAGAAGAGCCCTTGATGGGACGCCCAGATGCAACCTGCTAACAACCTGAATGAATCACCTCCAAAGTCAGGCCAGCCTGCGAGTCCCTTTATCTCCCCAACGGAAGCATTAAGCCACAGAGCTCTGCCAGATGGCGCGGAACTGGTCTGCTCTGGCTTTTAAAGGGACTGACTTTTTCTTTGAAAAGCCATTAAGGGAAAACCACAGACTCCGGAAGCCCCCACCCCCACCCCCCACCTCGCGAGAGCCACTCCTAGGCGAAGTCTCCCAGTCATCATCCTGGGGATGACACAAATCCACAAACTGCTCCAGTCACAACACTGGAGACTCCCCAGAAGTCAGCCTCTGGTCCCCATGATGGGGCACACAAAATGCTAACAGCTCTTCCCAGGCTGAGTGGCCTTTTGCGGTGACATGAAAAAAAGGAGAGCTTGGGGACAGGCAGCCTGGGAGGAGAGGCGACAGGCATCAGGGCAAGTGAAAGAAGGGAGCTCACTGCCACCTCACCTTTTCAACATCTGCTTTGGTGACATTGATGTCCGCATCCATCTTCTCGAAGTACTGCTGCGCTCTGTCCGCCTCTTTGCAGTCCCGTTCAAATCGTCTTTTACTCTGAAAGCAAAGGCAAGTGGTGACAGGAGAGCAGGTGTGAATGAAGCCGCGGGATTCCTATGAGAATGTATCATTTTGTCTCAATCCCCCAAAGAGCTTTCTCCTCTGAGCTGCTTGGTTGTATGTCCTAACATCAAAGAGTTATTCTACAGTCTGCATTTATAACCACCCCACCTGTCTAACCTTTGTGCTTTCCATATGAATTTTTAGAAAAACACTCTGCTTGAGCTCTTTGGGCTCCACACTCTGGTCTCCATAGTGGTGTCTAGAAACAAATGCGATTCAAATTGGAGAAAATCTCTAAGGGCATGGCATCCCTTTGGTGTTTTCGTTCTGCACTTGCGGATCGATGCAAGCTCACATTCAAATTAGAAAGTCTACAGGCATTTCTTGAGCTGTTTCTTGTCCACTTACTGATTCGAGTTGTTTCCAGCAGATCTCTATGTGCTGTTGTGCCTTCCGCCCATCGTGGAAGTGCTAGAAGCAGAAAACACAGAGGGATTAGCACCCCCTCTTTCTCATATTCACGCGTGAGAAAAAAAATCCATCTGCTTAAATTAATATTTCATTTTTTTTAAGTAGTCTCCACGCCCAACGTGGGGTTTGAACTCACGCCCCTGAGATCAAGAGTCATGTGCTCTACCAACAGAGAGCCAGCCAGGCACCCCCTCAATCACATTTAAATACTGACTATCTAGCACGTGCATGCCAAAGAAAGGTAAGGGTTAAAAAAAATAAAGAGGAAGTGAAAATGCAAACGGTCACAGAGCTCCCTTTAAAACTTCTGATATGATAATATTGAATTCTAAGACCTACATACAGCACTTGGAAAAACAACAGGAATGTTCGTTAACCCAACAATCACTTAGATCTTTATTTTTAATTGCTTTGAGGAGGAATTCACGTACCACACGATCTACCCATTTAGGTTGTACAATTCAGTGCTCTTTGGTGTAGTCACAGAATTATGCAACCATGACCAACAATCAATTTGAGAACATTTTTATCCCCCCAAAAAGAGAGCCGGTATCTCAGCTGTCATCCCTCCCCACCCCCTCCTCCAGCCTTAGGCAACCAGCACTCCACTTTCTGTCTCTATAAATTTGCCTGTTCTGGATTATTTCCTATGAATGGACTCATACAATAGGAGGTCCTTCTGTGACTGGCATGATGTTTCCACTAGTACCTAATGTTCACTTAGCAGAATGTCTTCAAGGTTCATCCACGTTGTCACATGTATCTGTACTTTATCTCTTTTTACTGCCAAGTGACACTCTATTGTCTGGATATATACACATTTTGCTTATCCATTTACAGTCGATGAACATTAGGGTTTTCCCAGTTTGGGGCTATTATGAATGATGCTGCTGCAAACATTTGTGTAAAACTTTTGTGTGGATGGATGTTTCCATGACACTGGCCTTTTTAGATTTAAAAATAAATTCACTCCCCCTGCTATTTGCAAAGGCCCTGAGGCAGGTAAGTGCCTTGTGTTGACTAGTAAGGATCCTAGAGGGCTAGACCAGGGTGAGCCTCAAGAACATCAGGAGAGGGGGTCAGAGAAGAAAGGACCAGACTGTGTAGAGTCTTGTAGACTTGTGGTCTGAATAAGCTGGGGAGCCATGGATCACTCCAAGTATAGAAGCACCATGTTACGAAGGAAGGTTCCAGGTAGGAGCCTCTCTCCAACCCTGGTGACAGGAGACTTGGACCACAGGGTAGCAGTGCAGATGGTGAGCAGGGGTCAGACTCTAGGTGTCCTTTGGTCAGGAAAACTCCAGGATCAGACTAGCCCCGGGGTTCTGCACCAGCCCTGTTGCTTCTCCTGAACCCTCTCCACAGCAACGTAAATGTTCCTTTTACTAGACAACCTTCCTTCAATGCCTGGGCTTGAATGGGTCGTCTGTGTTCCGACGGACAAGGTAAACCTCGGTGGGGGGGGGGGGCATTCCATGGCCAGAAAGCAGGCAGAAAGCATGACCGACGGAACAGGTCCCCTCCGCACAGCCTCGGACCTTTCCATCCCCCCCAGTCAGAGCCTAGGGCGGGGCTGAGTCACAAAGGAGGACAGGAAGGAGGAGACCAAATCAGATTTTGGTTTTTTTAAGAACAGCGCTCTTTTTATAAGGGAATGTTTTCTTGTCTCTCTTTTGAGGCCACGTTTCATGTTTTAAGCGCCTTTTTATGGCAAGTTTTACCCATCCAGCAATTTTTTTTTTTTTTTTTGTCTCTATGAATCCAAGAGGAGCCCCCTGGGGGCTTCATTCTTCAAGTTTCATAACAGACACAGGGATGAAACCGAACAGAGATTGCGTTTAAGGCTAGAAATAAACAAGCAAGACAGGATCAAGGCAGTGGAAGTAGAAGGAGAGCTGAGGGCAGAGCTAGGAAAATCTTGAACTTCGGAGGAAGTCCCAAATGCAAGTGGGTTTTCTGAAAGCCACATATATCACTTTAACATGGAATGGAGGGCAGGACTGAGGGAGGTCCTGGGGGGCGGGGGGGCAGTGAAGAGAGAGGCAGACAGGGAGGCAGAGAAACAGGCTTTGCCGTGCCCTCTCAGGGAGGCCCCTGGGCTCCTGGAGTCCTGCCCAGTCAGAAGCCACGTTCCTGAATTGTCAAGAGGACGATCCCCCATTTCGCAAGCAGGATCACCGTGTTCTGCAATTTGCTGAAAAGATCTCCCCATCCCTCCCCCCATTTTACTTTGAGATTTAAAGACAGACGTAAAGGGGAGGGGAGATGCCTTAGCACCAAACTCAGACCCGTGCTCTGGGTTTATGCTCTCGAAATGTTTTCACAAAACGCGAGGCCAGTCCTGGGCTGAGAGAGGAAACGCACACAAGAGTACGCAGAAGGCGACAGGCGCTGCCAGGAAGGCTGACTGGGCTTTATCATCACAGGAATCTTCTCTGAAGACAATAGATACCCCACCCCACCCCCGCCACACACACACACACACACACACACACACACAGAGTCATATTCTGGGAGCACGAGGGCTGACTTTGATTGAAAACCCACACAGTAAATTCTCCCGCTGCTCCTTCGTTTAATATTTAAAAATAAACGTGAATTTATTTTTCAAGCACGGTTGTGCACCTTGACTTGACTGATGATGAGCTTTCTCCCTTGAAGGACTCCTCAGCCCCAGTTCTGTCCAACTAAAACAACCATTTGAGAACTACATTGAGATCCTAATGTCTCCTGAGACGTAGGGAAAAATCAAGGTGTCCGTGATTTTCCTTCTAATGTACCTCTCACGGTATGTGTTCCTTCAAAATTCATTTGGCTACAACACAGAAAAAAAATACGTGGTGCTGCCTGATCCCTTAGGAAATCCGGGGGTGGAACCCAAGGTCTCCTGACCGTCCTGAGCGTACCATGACCTAGACAGAGGTCACCTGGGTCCAGTTCTCTCTCCCCTCCTTCAATTGGAAAAGCTAGCTAACAGTTACAAAGGTAAACAAGCAAACCAGCTTGCCAGATGTGTGTGTTGTTTATTAACAAACAATGGCAAAGCATTGCTTTGCCAGACAGTGAGCAAGTGTGTATCTAAAAAGTGTGCCTCCGAGCTCTAAATAAAGAGGAATTGTTCTCTAGAAAAAGATAATAAGTCTTTTGGAGCCGCAAAGTGAAGTCATCACGGCGCTTTTCTCCTATCAGCTGGGACAGGAAATGCCATCTCTAGGGACCCAGAGAAATGCTCCTGACTTTCTCCTGTAAGCAGGATGCTTTCATTTCTCTTCGGAGGTAATAACAGACTTTTGAAAATGCTTGATGGTATCTCAGCTGACAGCGAAACTTACTTTCATTTCAAATTTTTGGTTGGACCTTAAAAATATACAGGTAGAATCTATATAAATAATAAAATCATCCTTCCAAATTTTTTTAGGATTCTCTCAGTGACCAGGGGCAGCTGAGAGAAGAATCACAGGGAACCTAAAATAAGCAAGCACTAACTTCAAGAAAAACTACAATGACAAAGCTTCTAAGAAGGTTTTCCTGGGCTCCAAGAGATCATACTCAGGCTGTGAAAATGTTTATTATTCACACTCCACAATTAAGTACAACAGCTGCTCGCTTTTACTCTATTTATATATAATAGACCCTTAATTTTTAAAACTCCATAAAAAAGCAAAATATGGCATTGATGTGAGAACAGCCACTTCCAAAAAAAAAAAAGTGGAAAAAAAAAAAAAGAATAAACACTCAATTGAGGACAGTCAACCATCTGGAATTTTAAATAAAACTCAGATTCCACAGATGAAAACAAAGGAGCACAAGACTTGAAAAGGGCAAAGAAAAAAGGAGCTTGCAGAAAATACGTCTGTGACAAATGTTATAATTTCCTCAAAACCCACAGCGTGGTGGGTCTGAACACTAGCAGATTCTATGCCTGACTCGGGATTAATTAATGCAACTATGAATCTCTGTGGAAGAGACATGGATGGGGACTGTGGAGGAAACTCAAATACCGTCAGCCCTGCTCAAGGGAGCACTTCGCCCCCTCCCTCCAATCCCAAACCATAAACCTAGGCATTCGTGATGGCAGCTACATTCTGATTTATACAGTATGGTCATATGATTAAATAAATATGATTAATTCAGGAAGGTCCATTTTCCTTAATCCATTTGTAACACAAATACCTTCTTGGTGCACAAGTTCCAAACATGCCTACCTCCCAGTGTCAAGCTCAGTCGCTGAACCCTACCCATCCCCCCGACCATCTGGGCACCGGGCGGGGGACCCCACGCATGGTCCAGCAGACACTGCCAAGTTGTCTTTACTTCTCTCCCAGTGTGCCTTCTCCCCACTGCTCCTGTCATTCTCATGCTGGCTTTTGCTACCCAGATCGCTCCACACGTTCACAATTTACCTGGACTCCAGAAGGCTTCTATCTGTTCTTCAGAATAATCCCTTCTTTCATATTCCTTAAAATTCTAATTGTTTTGAAGAATCTCGATTAACTTTTTTTTTTTTTTAAGTTAGCTCGGCGCCCAATGTGGAGCTTGAACTCACGACCCCAAGATCAACAGTCACATGCTCTACGGACTGAGCCAGCCAGGCGCCTCCTGATTAACTTTTAGGATGAAAGAATCTTTTTTTTTTTTTTTAAAGATTTTATTTATTTATTTGACACAGAGAGAGAAACACAGCTAGGGCGAGTGAGAGGGAGAAGCAGGCTTCCCGCAGAGCGGGGAGCCCGATGCGGGGCTCGATCCCAGGACTCTGGGATCATGACCTAAGCTGAAGGCAGACGCTTAACAACTGAGCCACCCAGGCACTTCTAGGTTGAAAGAATCTTAAAATGATCAATATTAAGCAGTGATGCCCCTCACTTGAGCCCTTCTGAGGGTATCAATCTCTTACTTCCAAACCCAGACAAGGAGAATCACCATCAGTAAGAGTTTCAGATAAAGTGCCAGGTTGACCAAGGGTGAGACTTTAGGGGCAGTAATCCTTCCCCAAAAGG